TTTAGACAACAGGTTTATATCGATATAGAGTCAAGTTGCATTACATAACACATACCAGTGAGCAGCTCTCTTCTGTCACACTCTCCGCACAGCTCCGCCCCACTCACTTACTCACTCACAAGTTCTCCAGCAACACTCAGAGAGACACAGAGCTGCTCCACTGTTTAATCTGTCTGTTCATTAGTCTACAGTGCGTCATCGGTCTGTATGTTGCACGTGCTACGTTAAATCAGTCTGTGAGATGAATGAAATTACCACAGCACACATGCAATCTTGCACTGTGCTGCTAGCTTGTGTGTGAGGTGGATAGCACGTCACAGTTCCTCTTGGTAGTTGAAGTCTATTTTGTGACATAGAGACCAGTGCCTGGATGCAGGCAACAGATCTGTTTAGGAAAAGGCAGTGAGAACACAGACGTTTCATATACAAAACTCTGTGATTTGTTGAATAGCCTAAATAAACTAAAAGATTTAAATCATTTTCCAGCACTAGATTCATTTGAAAGATCATGGAAAATGACTTATTAACTCCCCCGACAAAGATTTTTAATTGTTTCAAACCTACTTAATACTTTTATAGTCATGTTATAGTTTTGTGTCCTGTGCTGCAAACCTTTAAACCTGTGTAGCATTAAAAATGTTAATGTACAGCCCTGCTATTTATTTGATATCATTTTCCATTTACATGTTGTGCAGGTGCATATCTTCAAATAGGGGAAAAAATCTCTATCTTTGCATTTTATTTTGAGTCTGTTTTTATTCAAGCGCTTGTGACATCTCAAATGTGGCTCTGACTTGCAACTGAAAACATAGAGCCCATTTCATAGAAAATACCAAGATATATATCGTGCATTGCCAGTCAGAAAGAAAATACACGCTATGAATTTTTGTCCATATCGCCCAGCCTTAGCATTTGGCCATAAATCAAAGTAAATTAAAATAAACTAGTCCATACCCATTGATAGCTTTGTCGCCTTCTACCTATGCCAATCCTCAATGCCTATGTGCAGTTTCACATAGATTGACCACGTCTGTGAGTAGAAAAACATGGGACAGACAGAATGACTGACTGACAGAATGACACACTGACAGTTTCCGTGATTATGTACAGCATACCATACCATGACTTAGTCATACCAAAAATTAGAAAAAAAAACAACAACATTGGGCCACAGGGGGAGCCACAGCGATCGGTCACATTTTAGACATTTTTAAGCATTTTTCTGTTGTTATAGCGCCACCCAGTTGTCAATTACAGTTAAATTTCTCCAGTCACCTTGAGGCGTCCTGTTCTATATATCTACCAAGTTTAGTAAAAATCGATTACCTCAGATTATGTGTGGTCATATGCCTACAAAGTTGCGTGGTAANGGAGGGGTCCCCTCAGATTATGTGTGGTCATATGCCTACAAAGTTGCGTGGTGATCGGTGAAACCCTTGAGATGTTATACACCTTTATGTGATGAGCCACACCCTCCGCAATATTCATTGCCTTATAGAAGCCCAGTTTTATTAAGTTTTCCAACTTTTGCCGAGAGGGAACTTTAGATGTTGGTCCCTAGATTATGTTCACTGAGTTTCATGCAGATCGGTCAAACTTCCTAGGAAGAGATCGATTTTAAGTGTTTTTCAAAAAATTCAAAATGGCGGAAAATCTATATAACCGGAAGTTATGGGTTCTTGAGGCAGATTTGTTCCTCATGAGGAGAGGCATCTCTGTGCAAAGTTTCACGTCTCTACGACATACAGGGCATGAGATATGCCCATTCAAAGTTTGTAATTTCAATCGGTTGCTATAGCGCCCCCCTTTGGCCAATTGATGTAATATTGCTTCATTGGCATCCTCCCATGACCCTCTACCTCTGTGCCAAATTTCACATGGATTGACCAAGTCAGTGAGGAGAAAAACATGGAACAGACACACAGACAGAGTTTTCGTCATTATATAGTAAGATAAATCAATAAAAAAATACTATGACGTGATGATGGTGCTAGATGCAATGCCAGGAGGATCACCTGTGGGGAACACAAGCTACTGCATCAAATTCAGTGGCAACCAATTCAATAGTTGCAAATATGTTACTTAAAACCGCAAATGTTAACCCCCAAAAGAACTGGAGGAGAAGTCAAGCAAATCAACAGACATTATGATTCATAGTCCTTCATAATAATAATAATTCCTTTTGATATAAACATCTAGACCAAAAACATGTGGGAAATGGTGCTTGTTAGCGCCGAGACAACTCTCTGTTGTCTCCTTTTTAATTACCATCTCCCAGACATGCAGGCACGCACACACAAACACACAAACCAGTGGCCTTTGTGTAGCGACCTCCCACAAGTGTAAATATCGCCCTGCAGCCTTTTTTTTCCCTGGTAGAGTCAAGAAGCTACAATGCTGTCAAGTAGCTGAATACCCACTAAATGAATTCCAGATGGTTGGAGCTGAGAAACTGGGGCAACTATGGTGAAATATCTCAGACATTTAACACATGTCCCATTGATGCCAGAATCACAGTGCGAGTCTTTGACAGTCGCAGCTGACTGTGTCGTTCACACACACACGCACACACACACATACGCACTGTGCTGTAAAGAGATACAGACAAGCACACAGATATGCATGCAGTTTAATCTAACTGTATTTTGGTAGTTGGAGGGTTTGTTCATTTTACACGAGCACAGGCAGTCTGAATGCCATCTTTCTCAACTACTCACAAACAGGTCACAAAGGTGGCATTCAGACTGCCTGTTCTCTTGTAAAAGGAACAAACCTTCCAACTACCAAAATTAGGAATTTCCTTAACTCTTAGCTCTTTGTTGTCATGCTACTATTACACCATCAAACACTTAAAGAGTTGAAACATATGAAGCTGCTGCTCTATGAAGTCTGGATGATCACCAAATGCAGCACTTAAACTCCATGGCCAGTCGTTCAAAACACGACATGGATAATTAGCTTTCATTACAGGTTTAACAAAGCTCAATACACGCAAATGGCTTTGGAAATGATGATTTTGTCTTAATTTTATTTCCAGGTTCAGTTTTGGGTATAAAACAGAACATGCGGGACATATCGCGCAATGATAAATACATCCCAGAGACCGTTGCTTCAACCCAGCAGCACAGAAAATCTATACAATCAGCACAGTTTCAAGGTGGACAACCAAGATTAGTGTCATCAATTCAGTATATGACCAAATGTCTCTCCTTTAGTTCCTCAGTCTGGAGTTCCAGCAGAATATTATGATGTCACAGTGAAGTTGACCTTTGACCTTTTGGGTATAAAATGTCATCACTTTGTCATTTTATCCTACTGGACATTTGTGTGAGATTTTGTCATAATTAGTGTTTGAAATTTTTAGTTACAGTCAAAATCATGTTTTGTGAGGTCACAGTGACCTTGACTATTGACCTTCAGCCACCAAATTCTAATCAGTTCATTCTGGAGTCCAAAGAGACGTTTGTGCCAAATGTGAGGAAATTCCTTCAAAGCACTTTTTGAGATATCCCATTCATGAAATGAGACAGATGCAAGATTACAGTGACCTTTACCATTGACCACCAAATTCTACTTAATTTATCCTTGACTCCCAGTAGATGTTTGTGCCAAATTTGAGGAAATTCCCAAAAGGCCTTATTGAGATATTGCGTTCAAGACAACGAGATGGAAGCAAAGTCATAGTGACTGTAACCTCTGACCACCAAAATCAAATCAGTTCATCGTTGAGTCCAAGTGAACGTTTGTGCCAAATTTGAAGAAAAAAAAAAAAAAAAAAATATCACTCAAGGCTTTCTTGTGATATTACTTTCACAAGAATGAGACAGAGGAGGTCACAGTTACCTTGACAATGGAATTATGACCACCAAAGACTTATCATCATCATCTTCATCGTTAAGTCCAACTGGACATTTGTGCCAATTTGAAGAAATTCCCTCAAGGCGTCCCAGAGATACTGCGTTCACGAGAATGGGACGGACAACCCAAAAACATAATGCCTACAAGCCATGGCTATCACCAGCGCAGAGGTATAATTACAATAATAGTAATTTAATACAATGTTTTGAACTTTTAATCCCCTGACTACTTGTCAAGTTTGTCTTGTGTGCTACTTAGAATATAAGACCCACTTTAATCAGGTGCAAACTAACAGGCACGTTAACTATAGAGATGTGCTCCTCAATATTATGAGCGCGAGCAAAAAATAGGACTTGTGATTTCAGGTTGGACTGCAGATCTTGTGTCACCGGGTTGGGATGGGTTGCAGACCTAATTTGCGGACGGCGGGTGGGTGCAGTTATGCCATCACGAACTGCCCCTGTTTGTGAGTAGGTACTCTGCCCTCGTGAATGTGCAGGTCAAGTCATTATATGAACAAGGTCAGCTATGTGCATCCCTGTTTGAAAGCTGTCATCCTTTTCTTCAAGATTCAATGTGGCATGAATCCGGAGGTCATCACATCTCAGGTACAACAGAAACTCTCATTTTATTTTGTCTGCCATACATATAGTGAATGGACTGCACTTGCACAGCGCTTTTCTAGTCTTCTGACCACTCAAAGTGCTTTTACACCATGAGTCACATTCACACATACATTCACACACTGGTGGCCAAGGCTACCATGCAGGGTGCCACCTGCTGCTCAGTTACCATTCACACACACTCACACACCATAGTAACAGCCATTGAGAGCAATTTGGGGTGCAGTATCTTGCCCAAGGATACATCAACATGTGGACTGGAGGAGCCACAGATCAAAGTGCTGGTCTTCCAATTATTGGATGACCTCCTCTACCTCTGAGCCACAGCTGCGCCACACAAATAGTGTGTATACATATGTATTGTGTGTATACACTATACACTATCAAAATGTTCATGGATATCAATTGTGCTGAGGACCCGTACATGAATGCCTCTAAAAGGTTGAGGGCACAGGCAAAAACACCCACTCAGTCACACATCAGACAGCAGTGTAGTCATACAGCATGTGTGGCACTCACTCTAGGAAGCGGGTGATATACTGGCGACTGCAGCGTGACCACCTGGGCTGGGAGGTGCCGTACAGGAGCTGTGGAGACATGACGAAAGGTCGTTTCCCAATGGGTTCACAGTCATTACCGTTGCCATCATGCTGAATCCCAAAGCTGCGACATAAAAGCACATCCCACAGAGAGGGGAATTACAATGAGTAGGTGCAACATGGAAAGCAAACTTCAAAGTAAAGCCAATGTTAATGCTTAAATTACAACATTTAATATTAATCTGTTTTGCTGTGGGTGCAACAGAGGTGAGATAAAAAGGCATTACAACAACAAAAAAACGTGTGTACAGCAGTGATATGAGAAAGCTAATGTAAACAAACTGTTCACTTCTTACAGTATGTTTAACAGCTTCCTCAAAGGCTGTGGTGGCTTTATGTATGCTTCGTGCTCTTTTAAGCTACAAAACAGCAGCAAGAATGACAACCGCAGAGAGAACTGAGCAGCTGATTTGGTGCCTTCAAAAATGTCTGCACTAATGGCAGCTAGATGCTGATTGAAGTAACCCGTAAAATAAAATTTAAATGTCCCATACTGTGCTCATCTTCAGGTTCATACTTGAATTTGGGGGTTTTATGAGACGATGTTTGTCTCTGTCTGAAACAGTCTGTTTTAGCACCTTTTCTTAAAGTCTCCTTCCCAAAAAAGCCCAGTCTGCTCTGATTGGTCAGTTTTTCTTGGTCTTCCACATCGGTGCTCTCTGCGTCTCTGCAGCCGAGATAACAAACGGCACTATACTGGCACTTTCTACCTCTATAGACCCTTTCACTGCTGTTATGTTGCCTGGGAAACAGCTTTGGTCTCTGTTTACTTCCTGTCAGCTATCAAGGAAACCACAAAAGAAGGAAAGATCATGATGTCAGTGACAGCATCCAAATTTTGCATTGGTGCCAGAGTTTGGTGTCAGTTATATTAGTTCAATGTGGCAGGCAAAGCGAATCACACTGTAACCCTTCATATCTGTGTTGTTTCACCTTTGACTAAAAAATTCGTACACAAAATTAAAAAGCACCCATTGTGTGACACTGACTGACATTTTTTCACTAAATGTGCATGTTCATTTTCCTTGATATGCTCTGTTAGCAGCCAGTTAGCTAGCCCAGGTCTGTATGCTACTGGGTCATGTTTCATAAATTGTAAATTGGGTCTCATTATGAGAAAGTTACAAAAAACAAAAAAAACATGTATTTTTTAAAAGAAAAATCTGTAATATTGTGCTTTTGAATTCTGGAAATAACCTCGGTGTGCGTGAGTCCATTGTTGAAGCCTGAGTAAATAATTTGTTGTCGCTGTAGGGAGGACTGTTTACTACCATTACTGTTAATAATTGTGTCTTGAGTGTTTTGATTTGTACCAAGTGTAGCAGCTGTTTTCATTGTATGCATTACAATGACAATAAAGGCTTTCTGTTCCTGCGTGGCATTCACACAGTTGGTTCCTGTCAATCCAAGACCTGTTCAAGCATTGAACACAAAACACCCTGAGCATACATCCAGAGCCAGCTGCAAACTATACACACACACACATATGGTGGAAAATAAAGCAAGGTACGTCAGGGTCAGCTGAACAACAACAATCAAGATAAACAAATACAATGAAGTTATCAACCACACACTGTTGTCACTGACTGAAGTCAAGTTGAATCAGTCTGAGGAGAATGGGACTATAATTGCAAACTGCATGTAGAGCTGGTAAAGGCTAGACAGAGTCCAGGAGGCAATGTGAGCAGAGCATGAAGTAAGACAATCATCTCGGCACAGCTCCTCAGTCGATGGTTAGTACGTGCCAGTCACAGTTTGTGTTATTCTTCACATTACAATACAATCAGTTGCAATCCAGGTTCAGCGTTGAGCATGGTCGAGGCAACAGTAGCAAACAGATTTGTGTTTTTATTTCTAAACACTGTGGTTATTATGAACAATCAAAACACAGAGGGAAAAAATTGAATTTAAATTGGAGGGGCATCTAGGGTCCTATTTTCTATAGTGCATGACGCAAGTGCAATTAGGGTGTGTCCAACTCCACTTTCGTAAGTTAAACAGCGCATAATCTGGGTGCAAAGTGAGGCGCAAAAGGGTTGTATTTAGTCCTTTAATTAATCCTCGGTGTGTTTTGGGTGTCACATGAATTCAGCCAATCAGTGTGATTTCCCATCCTATTTCAAATCCAGGTGCACCTGCACCTGGAGCACGGATATTTACATGGTGGACTAGGCAAATTTAGAAGTGAGCAGTTTTCTGCTGAGAGTAACTCAGTAAGAGCCGTAATGTCACTGCAGAAAAAAAGGAAAGTTTAAGCATGAAACAGGCAATGAAATAAAAACTGTAGTTATAAACTTGACAGAGAACACAGAATAAAACTTATCACACAAAGCGCACAATGTTTCTCTTAATGGGGACGCACTTGCCTGACAAAAAAATGAAGCTGTAATTCATACAGGCCTGCTGAGATTTCAGATCAGCAGGCCTTTAATATAGTGACACAGAACTGCAGTGTCCCTTTAAATAGCAGAAAAAACTGTGCCATTGATGTTGACCAGGTTTTTGTTGGTCATTGGTGCAATTGGTTACTGCTGCCTCAAAATAGCAATGTGCCAACGATGCGCCTAACCACACAGCATTTTAAGACTTAAACACCAATGGGCACACAGATGGATGGAAGTATATTTGCTACTTAAACAACGTGAGCGTTGCCCGCAGAAATGACAATCAGTCTGGAACTAGTAATGACAGTTGCGCTGCACTCTGCCCAGTTTTGCGCCAGGTGTAGGATAGAGTCCATAGTCTCTGTGCGGTGCGCAGGATATGTGTCTGTTACTATTCCTGCTTTGAAAATCAGGGTGTTCTGTGAATCCAAACCAATAGCTTAGTTGTAGTATTGTCTATTTTTTTTTTTGTTGTTAAACTTAATATTACATATCAAAGGCTCTCAATGTACAACCCACCCTTTTTTCCCATAGAAAATCCTAATTGTTTGGATGACAAATAATCTGACTGTACAAATTATTGTGAAAGACTGATTACTGTATTTTACCACCCTTGTTATCCCACCGTCTTAAATTATTATGATGACACTTCTTTCTTTGCTCCTCGATAGTCAAACAAGTAGTGACAGTCATACAGATAAACATGGCATCTGCCTGTATTTGTGTCCTCTGTCATAATGAACTGTATATAAATATTTGCAATTTGCAAGGGGCTGCAAGTGCTCTCAGCTACCTACAGAATATTAATTAAGGGCTTCCATGGGTTTAGCTCATATAGAATTGGTACGTTACGAAGGCAAGTTATGTGCTTTCACACTAAATGAACAGCAAAAATAATTAACAGCTTTTTAAATACACCCATAAGTGATTTAAAATATAATTTGTTGGGGATGGTGTGAAACAGCTCCTGTTTTAAGATTGCCTTTAGAATATGGCTTTTGTTTGATGTATTGTTTTTTTTTGTTCCTGACTGAGGAAGCGTACGTGTTTTTGATTGTTTACATGCCATTTGTTTCCTTTAATTACACCAAGTCTGTTGTGGAGTCATTTGAGGGAAAAAAATCCTTAAGCACAAATTTAAAAAGTGGTAATTAAGAGGCTGAAAGAAGTAAGATTAAATAGCAGTAATGCGCAACAGTGTGCTAGTTTAATTAGATGGCTTTGCGACAGCTGATGATGCAGAACAACCACCGCTCCACCCAGCTTGGTCTTGACAAGGTCTTGACAGTAAGTCCAAACTCTGTGCACTTGCATCTATGCAGTGTTTTACTTTACTGTGTCCTCTGTCAGTTTATTTGAGCTTCATCAGAACAGCTGATAAAATCTACTAGCAACTGTCAATTCAGCTAGAAAAGGTCAGCGAGAAAGGAGAAGCAGTGAAACCTTACTTGTGTCCCAGCTCATGAGCTACAGTGAAGGCCAGTGGGAGGCCAGTGTCCTCACTGATGCTGCAGCTACGATGTGCCTGACACATCCCCGCCACGTGGGACAGACCCAGAGTCTCACAGGGTGTGTTGATGGCTGCACAGATGTCCTTCCTGTGGGAAGTAACAAAATGGAGTTGGTCAGATGTCAGTCGTTTCAGAATGTAACATGACAGACAACATGTTGTAGATCGTAATTACAAGATGATGAAGAACTAATAAAAAAATATGGGACGTTTCACCTCTCATCCAAGAAAGTAATAAATAATACATGTTATAATATTAAAAAATATATAACAAAATTTCTTTTCCAGTAGAAATTCAGGTTTTTAATCAGGCTTGGGTTCAAAACTGTTGCTGTGGGCCAGGCTCAGGTCAGGCTGGGACAGAAACTGTGCAGGCTCTTGTGGGGTCAGTCTGACTTTTGGTCTTGTTCAGAGCTCTAGCCCTGCTTAAGGTACTTGTATATGTGTTGTAAATATGGGTTTGAAGATGATATTCTTAAGCTAGGAAAGAGCGACTTTGTATCTTTAAAGGGAGCAGGTGTTCACAAGAGAAAACAGGTTGAAATTAAAGATGATTTTTTTTTTCTGTAAATCATGTTCTTTACAATATATCAAACAAAAAGAAGTATATCTGTGGTCAGATTAGATCTGCCTCTTTGTTCTGAAACAGGAGGGTACATTTCTGTAGAGGAGGAAAATCGAATTCATACAATGTGGAATCTGAGAGAAAGAAAAAGCAGCGCAGCAAAGTGTTATTTTAGTTTTTAATACCTTTTGTACTGAAAATTGTCAGCTTTCTTTTTTTTAATTTTGTGTTTATTTTTATTTTAACCTTTATTTTACCAGGAAATAGTCCCATTGAGATTCAGAATCTCTTTTGCAAGGGAGTCCTGGCCAAGACAGCAGCATAATAGTTGCACTAAAAAGCACAATAGGTTAAAACAGACAACATGAAACAAACAGTTACAAAACAGTTGGCAATTCATTCTTAAAATGAGTTGAAGGATGAATGACTCACATGGTTGTTTGAAAAAGAGACCTTCACACTGGCAGCTTATTTATTAAGTGTTCAGAAGGAACACACATCAGTAAGGGTTGTATGATTACCACTGTTATTGATAACCTAAAACGATGGATTTGTACCAGCAGTTGATCTACTGAGGCATGTGGGATCTGATTATTCTTAACTTAACTTTCAACAACAGCAGTTTAAGTTTACTGCAGCTGTGATGGGACAACATCTGAATGCTTGTCATCTTTCATTCTTCCCTCTTCAACCATCTAGATCAGTAAATCAATACCTGCTCTGGGACGACATCAATAAAACAAATAATGAAGTGACTCTTGATGAAAAAGAAGAGAGCTTGGTGAACTGAGTTTTTATTTACCTGGTGAGCAGGACGGCTACGTCGTGGTGCAGCGGGTGTTCGTCTCCTTTCATGTTGAGTTTCTTCTGCCACTTACAGAAGCTGTTCAAGCTGTTATCTGCATGGTGTGTAATCTTCAAGTCATCCTGTTATCCACATGTCACGTTGAGATGAAGGGAAGGGAACATGAGACAAATGGATAAAAAATTACCAGCCACCTACCATGAGTTTACAGCGCAGGCTGTTAGCAGGCACAGCAAAGATAAAAAAGGACAGAAGATGCTATAGAATAATTGCTATAACTGCAACTAAATTGCCCCATCTCTGCTTTTACCATTCAATTTCTTTTAGTGGGCCCTAATGACAGTCATTCAGTCAAAGGTCAGGAAATGACATTACACAGTATGTCAGGCAGCACTGATCAAAATTGAATCAAGATTCTGCTACTGCATGGCCTATTTTTTGCCCCAAATGTTTTCATACATATTTTAGTGTACTGTTTAGTTGTAAATTGAGAAGGTCTGTGACCCAGCCGGTGAGCGGTGCTTGGTTTTGGCTTGACTGCTGTCAACATGGTGGCCAGATAACAAACTTTCATAGGTTTGATGCACATGCTTTCTCACAGTGCTTTCTGAGCAGTAGTGCAAGGAAGCATTTTGGATTCGACACGACAGCTGGAAAAACATAAATGAAGGAAAAGCTGTTTGCTGATTTACTGTAGTTAAGTAGGGGAGACTGGGGTAAGTTGAGCCAAAGGGTAAGTTGAGCCACCCCTTGTCGCTAGGAAACTGTAAATGAAATTGAGCATGTGACCAAATATTTAGGAGGAAGGCATCATTTTATGGAGTCTGTGAAGGTAAGACCCACATGGGTTAAGTGGTTAGAGATTTATGTCCAAAAAAGCATTTTTCACTCATGAAAGTGAATTTAGTCTATCATAAGTTTCATGGGGATTGTATTTAGACCAAAATAGATAATTTTTAATTTGTTTTATACATCAATTGTGGTGTCTATTAACTACAAAATTAGGTAGTACAGCTAGCATGAAAGTGCACCATTTTAGCTGTGGGGGCTAATAAAGTCAATATGGTAGCTATGGGGTAAGTTGAGCAATTTGAACAGGGGTAAGGTGAGCCGTAAGTTTCTGAGAAGAGGCAAAGCTGGATATGGTAAACCAAGCCAACCAAACTATGAGGGATTCTTCCCAAGAAGTGATGTAATTGCAAAACTCCCCAAACCTCAGAGTCCCAGCAGTTTGTTTTCCCCTGCAACCTGGACAGGTGGGATATTGAGTAAAGGGACAGGTGAGATATGGATGGAAGGAGGGAGGGGGGTGGATGGAACGAGAGTAAGATGGAGGGAGGAGTTCAGAGAGGATGAAGGAGGCCCTCCTGTCAGCAAGGACACCAAACTAGGATTCACGTCTACGGATTTAGTTCACTGTTTTCTTTCCAAAAACACAGCTGTTAAGGTTCTCTTGCTAAGCGCACTTTAAGGCATTTTGAAGTTGTTATATGCAATAATAATTTAAAAAAAGATTTGTACCTGTTGAATTGTGTATTATAAATAAAAATACACATGGATTTGAAGAAGCGTCTTATTTAATTCAGTAGAGACATGTATAACTGGAGGGAGGGAGGGAGGGAGAGGGGGGGAGGAGAAGGGGGGAGGAGGGAAGGGGGGGGGGGGGGAAGGGGGGTAGGAGGGAGGGCGGGGGGAGGGAAGGAGGGAGATGGCTCAACTTACCCCACTCCTATGCTCAACTTACCCCAGACACGGGGTAAGTTGTGCCACGAGACCACTTTTTTTGGACATGCTATATTATCAAAACAGTTATGTTTACACTCATTCTGTTTGTTTGTAAGGATGCACAACATCCTGAAATATATGCACATATATTAGTTAGCAACAAAACTATAATAGCCTTGATGTAGTGATCCTGAATATGAAAAGTGGCTCATCTTACCCCGGTCTCCCCTACAACTGTTGTAAATAACATTAGCTTGTCATGTTAGATTTTCAGCAGCAGAGGCAACGAGAATACAAAAAAAAACAACCCCAAATGTTTTCAGAAATATATTTTAGTGTACTGCTTAGCTGTAAATTGAAAAAGTTTGGGACACTGCTGCTGGGCAGTGCTTGGTTTTGGCTTGACTGTTGTCAACACGGTGGTAAGGTTACACACTTCCATGAGTTTGACTCTCATGCTTCTTCACAGTACTTTTTGAGAAGTAGCACGAGGAAGTATTTTGGGTTCTTCACGACAGCCAATCCGGAAATCCATCGGTGAAGGCACAGCCTGGAGTTTTTCGACTAACGGAAGTGCAGGGGCCTCGGCGATCGCTCACGCCCTTCACTTCCGGCAGTGCCCCCAGAGAATCGCTGTGTTGTTTACAAATACTTCGGGTAGAAAACCAGCAGAGTTTAGCTATATATCACATCACGTTACTATATCACCGTGTAGACTAATCTGATGTTTGTTAAGTCTATAAACACTTGATTGAACAAACGTTACTATTTCTGTGTGCACATTTTGTAATTAATAACATGGTTATCGTAGATTAGCTGGGCTAACCGTTAGCTGTTAACGTTAGCCGTTAGCGGTGTCTGTAATAACCAGACTGTATAAAAATAAGGTAATAACTCAATAAACGGTCCGTGAATAAAATATTTTTTCAAGCGGATATCTTAGTTACAACATGATTGAGCTAGCAAAGCAGTTTTGTGTTGCTATGTGTGGTATTTATTCAGTTATGGGAAATCACGATGACTAGAAAGCATCAGTGGCTGCAGCTGACAGGGACAGCTACATCAGGACGTCATCTGTTAAAAGCCTCCCGTTGTCGGATACGACATGAAACTACTCCAGTTAGCTCAATCATGTTGTAACTAAGACATCCGCTGGGAAAAAAATAAATTTTCACGTTGACGAGACGGCATTTTGGGTGGAGCGGTCGCTATGGACGCGGAGCTTGCTGTTTCTCTTTCTAGATGAAGGTAAAGCTGTTTGCTGATTTACTGTAGTTAAGTACAGCTGCTGTAAAGTAACGTTAGCTTGTCGTGTTAGATTTTCAGCAGCAGAGGCAACCAGAATACAAAAAACAACCCTAAATGTTTTCAGAAATATATTTTAGTGGACTGTTTAGCTGTAAATCGAGAAAGTCTGTGACCCAGCCTGTGGGCGGTGCTTGGTTTTGGCTTGACTGTTGTCAACATGGTGGCCAGGTTACATACTCTCATGGGTTTGACTCTCATGCTTCCTCACAGTGCTTTTTAAGAAGTACTGTGAGGAAGTATTTTGGGATCCTCAAGACAGGTGGAAAAACATAGATGAAGGTAAAGCTGTTTGCTGACTAAAGCACTATTCGGACAGGATTAGTTTTACATAGTTTGTAGTAATGTTACCTGTTAGTTAGCCCAACTATGCATGTCATCACATCTTTAGCACACACATACACTTTCTGTTCAGAACGTGTTTGAGGAATAAAGCTTGAAAATTAACCACATTTCATCATCATAACCACACGTATTTACCTCGTCCTGCTCCAGCAGGATGAGTCGAACAACCACAATGTTGATTGCATTTCCAATACTGGCATCTTGGAACAAACCCGCCACCTGAGGAAAAAAAAAATTGCATTAAAAAATATGGATAGCACATGATTCCTACCTCCCATGGAATTTGGTAGATTATTAATACAGTGTGACCATGACTGAAAGAAACCAGGGCTGGCAGGTTGCTGCTGTTAGTCACACGAGGTAGAAACTTTGGACCATATCAGAAAATAAATCCTCAAAACCAAAATCAATAAAATAAAAAAGGCATTTTAAATTGTCCTTATGGAGAAACACTCAGCAGTCTCACCTTGAAATTATTTTTTTGTAATTTTAAAAGGCAAAATGTCATATTACAAATCTTCTCGGAGCTTTAACTCTGGCATCTGCCTTTGGGATTAATTTGACCATTGTCAAGGCCTGTGCAAACATTTAAACACAACATTTCTAAATGTTCTCAAATAGACACAATGATTGAGACATTTTTCTTTGCAGAAAAATCTTGTCCTCTGTCTGGATATTTTGATTCCTTTTATTCACTCTTTTAATGCATCAATTTACAAGTTGACCTGAATCATTCTGAGTATTCACTCAGAATGATTCAGGTCAACTTGTAAATTGACTCCTTGGCTTTTAACAACAATCTAACCTCTTGACATCAAAGCTTTCAGAGCCTTTTATCCACATGCTCTTAGTAGGCTAAGTATCAAAGGTCTCAGTGTCATCAAACCATCACACAGCTAACAGTGAATAATTACAGCTTGTATTTGTACCAATTTACCACTTCTGTAGCACTTTACTGCACAAATGTGAACAAGGTCATTTCACTTTGACTCACTACAGATTTAAGTTTCTAGCTGTCATTGAATTATTTTATATCCAAAGCATCAAAACCAAATGAAAAGCTTGAGTGTAAAAATTGCTGTATTTAAAACAATCAGTAGCTTTGACAGTGACTCAATGTCATGTGACATTTCAGAGAGCTACTTAAAAAAGGGCAAGTGGCTGGAGGGGGTTTATTACTAGAGAATAGGGATCAAGGTCAATGTACTGAGACAATAGTTAAAAGGAACTCACACTGACGAGATGCAAGACTGTGAGCATCGTTATCACTTGTTATCGCTCAACTAAAGCTCCATCACAGAGCAACACCGAACCTTAACGGTCTCATTATATTCTGCAGGAGCAGATAGCAACAGTTTTTTTGTTCTAACTTCAGAGCACACATGTGTTATGTTGGATATGTTTCTATTCAAGTTCTTGTCAATTTAGTTTGAACTTAATTTGTGCATAGGATGGGAATCAAGAACCAGATCCAATTTAAGACTAGTTCCAAAACGTCTGATCTATCTGAGTCATATGCCTCCGAGCTTATCTTTACTTTTATCAATGCTGGCATGTTTTTCTGACAGTTGTACATTGCAAAACGATGCTGTAAAACATGTGCATCTACGCTGCTGGAAACTTGCAACAAGGAGTCATTGAGAGGAAGAAACAGTCCAAAGTGAGGTCCAAGTAAGGACAGAATCACTTGCAATGTGGTGAGGCACCCTTCTACGCAATATGGGGTTAAATAAATGGAATGCCATGTATTTGGCACTCTATGCACGAGTGCCACTGCTTCCCAACCAAGCAGCATGTCTTTTACTGAGGGTAAATGTCCTGTTACAATAACATTAGTGCCACTACAGTTAGTCAGTCCGTTATCCCTGAAGGGAACAGGTGGGGATGGAAAAGAATTTCAGGGGAGGAATAAAGGTAGGTACAAAACCAGATGTGACCCTTCTGGTTCTGAGGGGCAGGGACCTACATCAGCATCAGGAAGGCGTGAGGTTTGACATATTCATGATGCACACAGTAACTCAATACGAAGCTGAAATCAGAAGCTGGAGCAAAAATGGCAAAGATAACAGACAGATGACTAACTGCATTTACTACAAACACAAAGAGGCTAAAAAAAAGATGGTGATGGTGTCAGTATGCTTCAAAGTGTTGTCAAATTGTCAGACAGCTTCACCACCCACACCTTGCAATTTTCATCCTGCCTTCAAATATAAACACTTTCTCAGACATCTTCACACAAAATGTTCTGTGAGCTAGTTTATTTCAAACATACCTTAATCCAGGCTATAGAAATGATTAAAACAGAAGCTCATCTGCATTCATCACCATACTAAAGAATAACTGACCCACAATGTTACATTTAAACTGATTTGCCTGGGATATGCTGTTACGCAATATTGCTTGTTTAGGGAACAGTTTAGTATCTTTAAGCAGGTGTTTGACCTTTGTAGCACATCATTTCTTTTTTTCTCTTCCTTTATGACGGTCAGCTATCTTTTATCACTAATGTAAAGGCAAACTTGCTCAAAACAATTGGTTTTCTTTTATACAGTCACATTTGATACTATAAAGTTTAAAGGCTTTCATTTTGACAGTCAATCATTCATTGTGTATGTTACATAATGCATGAAGCTCCAGCTTTCCATCTACATTTCAACACAACAAATGTCTTGTTCAACTAAAATTACCGCCTTGTGGTTGTGGGCCTCCATGGAACTGTCAAGCTGCAATTGTAGTTTATGATCATGTCAGTAAAAACAGTGATGCTTCACACACATCTTCCCTCTGGCAGCACAGAAGATTGATATAATCAGCACAGTTTCAAGGTGGACACCCAAAGATCAGTGTCACCAATTCAGTAACTGGCCAGATGCCTCCCGTTCTGTTCCCCTTCTGTCCCTGAGATATGACTCAATGGCCAGAAAAGTGTTTTTTGCAGAGCATTATGACGTCACAGTGAAACTAAACTTTGACCTTTTGGATACATAATGTCATCACTTCATCATTTTATCTTGTTAGACATTTGTGTGACATTTTGTCATAACTAGTGCATGGATTCTTGAGTTATGGCCAAAAACATATTTTGTGAGGTCACAATGACCTTGACCTTTGACCTTTAACTACAAAATTTTAATCTGTTTATTCTTCAGTCCAACAAAAAACATCTGTGTCAAATTTAAAGAAATTCCCTTAAGGTTTTCTTGAGATATCATGTCCGTTAGAATGAGACAGATGCAAGGTTACACTGACCTTTGACCACCAAAAACTTCATCAGTTCATCGTTTACATGTAAATGTTTATGCCAAATTTGAAGAAATTCCCCCAAGGTGTTCTTGTGATATCGTGTTCACAAGAGTGAGACAGACAAGGTCACAGTGACCTTGACCTTTGACCACCAAAAACTAATTAGTTCATTCTTCAGTCCAAGTGATGGTTCAACAAAATAAAAAATAAAAAATTCCCTCAAGGTGTTCTTGATATTGTGTTGACAAGAATGGGACAGACGGACGGATGGATGGACAACCCGAATACATAATGCTTTCTGCCACGGCTATCACTGGAGTGAAGGCATAATAAAAAACTATAACAGCTAAAGCATCCTTTTTTGCAGCAGAAAGTTAACACCGACTGATGACATTGGCCTTTGATCACCAAATTCTAATAAGTTCATTCTGGAGTCCAAAGGGACATTTGTGCCAAATGTGAGGGAATTTCCTAAAGGCCATCTTAAAATATCGCATTCACAACAACAGACAGACACAAGGTCACAGTGACCTTGACCTTTGAGCACCAAAATCTAAACACTTATTGTTGAGCCCAAGTGGATGTTTGTGCCAAATTTAAAGAAAATCCCTCAAGCTGTTCATGAGATATCACGTTCACGAAAATGAGAGGGATGCAAGGTCACAGTAACATTCACCTTTGACCACAGAAAACTAATCTGTTCAATGTTAAGTCCTAAGTAAAAGTTAGTGCCAAATTTGAAGAAATTCCATTGAGGTATTTTTGTGATATCTGATTCACGATAATGGGACAGACGGGCAACATGAAAATGCTGCGGCTATCGCTGGTGCAGAGGCATAATAAAAGAAAAAGTATTTCGCTGTTCGGCTGAAGCTGACACAATGATATAAAACTATGAGTGAAGACAAGAGGTTATATAGTTTGATGAACTCATTTTCACAGTTGAGAAACTGCAACAGATTGACTCAAAGGAGTAACAGAGAGCAACTTATTCTGCAATAAAAATGACTGCAATTACTAATAAGCACTTGAGTCTGCTGATCAGTCACTACACAGAGTTGTAGAGGCAATGCTCATAACACTGGGCCTTTGATTTTTCTACACACTAAAACCTTTTATGCGAGTTGTGTAACTGAGGCACTTCAATCTGAACAGCTCCGACACACATAAAGGACTGAATTCATCAAAACTTGTTTCTCATAGTAGTGTTCATTCACACAGATTTGTGGCACACATCTCTCAGCTGAATCAACTCTGCAATATTTTTAACAGTAACAATTAAATAGGTTTTCAGTCTGTCTCCATCCATCTTTCTCTATTGTTTATCTTGTGAATAAAAATAGAACTGCAGCTATTTAAAGCAACAATGTGCTGTTGATTTTGCATGTTTCCTCTCAAGCCTCATGCTGCACATCTATGCCCAGTCTTGAAGGGTATATTTTTGGATTTCTACTGTATCTTTCTTTATGTCCATATCTGACCTGTTTATGGGTTAATATAGGGCTTTAAATATCAACTTATGGCTGTAATAAATATGCTAAAGAAATTACAGTAAATAATCATAAGATCAAAATGTGAAGGGAAGTTGGGAGCTATTTTTGTAAAAGGGCTCCCACATTTTCTCAGCTGAGATTCACAGTCCAGGCAGTTACATGTGTAAATCACACCGCTGGGTGCACACAGTACAGCAGAATACAAAAATATGAACCTCTTGTGAAGCTGACAACTTCAAGACGGCGTCAGTGATGAGACAATGGAGCAGCTGCTGGCTGAGGAAGATGATGCCATTTCTTATTGTTTAGGTAAGAGGACGTTTCCCTTGATGCTGTGCAAGATTGTTTTCACAAAACTGAATCGTTTGGGTCTTTAAAGTTCAAAGCTGGAGTGTAGAGGTCTAAAAAAAAGAAACACAAGAGGATGTGGTGTATAATGGCTTCTTCCTCCGTGTATTATTGTCTGTTAAGTCCATTAATCCGTGGGGTTTTTCAGTCGGTGAATTCCCTTTCCTGATATCCTGCCCTCTGCACATTCAGTAGCTGCACTGAGACCAGACATGACTTTATTTTGGAAAAACCCACTTATGTGCTAATCAATGACAGACAAGGAGTCAGTTTGCCTAACCCCAAACTAGGAGGCCGTAATAACATTGATTGTGAAAAGCTAGATGAGAAGAGTTTAATCCATCTATCGTGTTATTGACACGGATGGAAAAACTTTAACAGAACCAGTTCTCAAACACTAGTGTCATTCAAACATCTGTGATGATCCTCAAACATCCTGTAACTCTGCTTTCAAAAAATAAAGATAGATTTTTTTGCCTCTGCACCAGCACTAGCTGTAGTTGGAGACATTATGTTTAAGGGTTGTACGTATGTACATATGTGCGCCCAATTCTTGTGAACAAAATTTCTCAAGAACGCTTCACTGGAATTTCTTAAAATTTGGCACAAATGTCCACTTAGACTCAATGATGAACTAATTAGCTATTGGTGGTGATGGGTCAAAGGTGAACGCGATATCTCAAGAACACCTTGGCACAAACTTCCACTTGGATTGAATGATAAAATAATTTGATTTTGGTGATCAAAGGTCAAGGTCACTGTGAACTTGCATCCGTCTCATTTTTGTGAACACGATAGCTCAAAAACACCTTAGAAGAATTTATTCAAGTTTGACACAAACATCTACTGAAACTTAAGAATAAAATGATACAATTTGGTGTATGAGGTGAAAGGTGAAGATCACTGTGACCTCACAAAACATGTTTTTAGCCATAACTAAATACCTCTGTACCAGCGATAGCCATGGCATTTTCAGGTTGTCTGTCTGTCCATTAGTCCGTCTCTTCGTCCCATTCTCGTGAACACGATATCACAAGAACACCTTGTTTCTTCAAATTTGGGACAAACTTTCACTTGGACTCAACTGATAAGATTTTGGTGCTCCAAGGTCAAGGCCACTGTGACCTTGCATCCACCCGTTATTGTGAATCTGATATCTTACGAAGGCCTTGGGAGAATTGCCTCACATTTGGCACAAATGTCCCTCTGGACTCCAGAATTAACCTGTTAGAATTTGGTGATCAAAGGTCAAAGGTCACTGTGGCCTCACAAAACATGTTTTTGGCCCTAATTAAAAAATTCATGCCCTTACTATGACAAAATGTCACAAAAATGTCTATTATGATAAAACAATGAAGTGATGACATCTGATATCCAAAAGGTCAAAGGTCAGCGTCACTGCGACATCATAATATTCTGCATAAAACACTTTCCTGGCCATTACCTAACGTCACATCTCAGGAACAGAAGGGGAGACATTTACATACACCACCACCACCACCTTGAAACTGTACTGACTGTATAGATCTTTATTGGCATCTTGTTGAGTGTGCACCCAAAACCTATGGTGCATCTCAAACTGGTGAATTTGTTTGCTGGTGTCTTATTTATTAGCAGTATTTGTTATAATGCAACATATTTGTTATTTAATTGATGAAGAAGCTTTCTTCATTTGATGGTGTTTCACCTATTTGCATGTGTTGTATCACGTTGCACTGCATGGCACAGGACTGCAACTTTAAGGGAATACTTTGACACTTTGGGAAACACGCTTTAGTGCCAGATGTTGTTTGTTTAATCTCCCCTGGTTGCTGTACAGCCTCACTGTGATGATAAGAAATCACTGCTCTGAGCCTAGGAATAGTTCTAGCATGTGACCTTCCATCAAAACCACAACATTTTGTCTCTACATTTCAGTTTGTGTGCAGATTAAATATACGAGATATAACATCTTAATCCAAAAATTAACAGAGTTTGTGAGCAAACAGAGAAAGACTAGCTGTTTCCTCCTGCTCTCAGTCCTTCTGCTAAACTGAGCTAAATGCCTGCTGGCTCAACATTCATATTTAGAATACAAACATGAGAGTGTAATCGATCCCCTCATCTAAATCTCAGCAAGAAAGTAAATAAGCAAACTATTCCTTTAAATTCAACATAATGATAAAAGCTTTCAGATCAAACAGACTGAAACTATTGATGCAATCAACACATTCAATAATTCAATGCACAGAAATATTAACGTCATTGCTAATGTTATTTACGTACAATGTTCATGACAGCCAGGGCGTAGCTTTCCACAGCTTTGCTCCCATGATGCTCCACCATTTTCGGGTCGGCCACCACCAGTGTTTCCACCCACTTCTCTTTGCTGACTGAGCGCTGACGAATTCTTCGTCTTCTCTGCCGCCGGCGCTCCCACCGTTCCCGCTGTCTCTCAGTGTCTACAAAACTTTGATGGGAATCTGGAGATGGGAGACAGAAATAGACATTTAAAAACTTTCTTACGGAGGCACAGTGTGAGCCAGCAGAGTACACCAGGTATGACTTTACCTGTTTTTCTTGCAAATATCATGGCCTCACTGCCTTTGTTATTCTCCATCTCCTCATTAGTACATTGATACAGTACAGTTGATACAGTGGGTGTTCACCAAATGCTTATATAACTAATGATTAATACAAATCAATTACACTTAAAAATGTGAATAACCTTGATGTTTCCTGTTTTGAGTAACACAATGGAACTTGTTTGTTTGGGGGGTATTTTGGTCTGTATTTGAAGGTATGACACACCCAGAGACAACATCCTTTGTCATTTCAGCCTCATACAGTCACCAGGATTAATCTGCAACGCTGCCTAAAAATAAAACACTAAAACATGCCTGTAGCTTTAAGACATTTCTCAATAGTCCTCCTCTGACTGCCTGCAGGAGCTTTACTTGCTGCTGCTCCTTAGTAAATGTTGGTTATTCTTTTTGATTAATAATGTTTGGGGTGATTTTATTTTATTGTAACTGTCAACAGTGCACTGCTGTAGAAAAATTAAAGGAACATTTAATTGAAGCCGTTTTTCAACCACACTCATGCCATAGAACCACAGCAAAACACACCTCAAAGATTTTCAGATGGGTTTAAACACCTGAACTGTCTCTAAAATGGTGAAAATGAGCTATATGGCTTATGGAAATAAAGAATTCCAGATGGCACTCTGTCAGAAGACTCCACTCACAAATATCCGCATGGGACTGAGCTCGAAATACGGAGCACTGTCAATCACAAAGGGGTTCCACCTTTTAGACAATTCCTCCAATCATCATGCATACACCAAGTGTCCCCTCCCACCTACCGCTCCATTAGGTCCCAGGGAAGCTGAGCCTCCCTGGAAGTGACGATTTTGTCGCATTTATCCAATGACCGTCTTGCTTTGCTGCATGAAAAAAACCTGCTCAGTGCTGTCTCATAGGAATGCTTGGAGGTTCCGTGTCCACCGTGCTGACATGAGAATGTATGACAGGGAGGTCGCGTTTGAAAACTGGTGATAGACAGCTGACGTTTGAACATCATAGTCATGATGTGAAACGCATCTAGCGCACATTTAATGCAATGTAAATTCTTATTTTAATGTAAATTCAACAGTGAATATTTGACCATTTCTTCTATGAAATTTTAGGGGAAGTTCAGCCTCCCTTGTTGTCTCAGAGCAATCGCCCCTGCATGGTACCAATGGATGCCTGACGTCATCTAGTTTTGAAAGATACCAGTATCTCAGCTCAGTCTTAAAGGTAGGGTGAGGAGCTCAGACACCCGGAGGGAGCTCTGCTTCAAAAGGGGTCAGTTGAGGTGGTTTGGGCATCTGATCAGGTTGCCTTCTGGGCACCTTCTGTTAGAGGTGATCTGGGCATGTCCCACTGGTAAAAGGCCCCGACCCAAAAAACGCTGGAGGGATTATATATCTTATCTGGCCTGGGAACACCTTGGGGTCCCCCAGGAGGAGCTGGAAAGCGTTGCTGGGGAGAGGGATGCCCACGTGACCCGGCCCCGGATAAGCAGACGGATGGATTGTTGTTGTTTTTTTGTCTTTTTTGACTAACGTGGCAAAATTTGTGCAAATATATTCACAAACTCAAATCACATTTTCTTGCCCTCTCTCCAGGACCATTGCAGATTATTAGCTGGAGACGGACTCATGAGAGAGAAATGAAAATATGACCATTCAGTGTGTGTGTGTGTGTGTTCAGTGTGGGTGTGGTGAGAAATTGGTGACATACTTTTGTTTCCACAGGTACCATTGAGAGCTTGTTTCCCTGAGATGGGCTGTACGACTGGACTCCAGGAGGGAGGGGACACGTGACGTTTGTAGATGGCATGGGCCTGAGGTGCTGAGGTCTCATCACTGGATTTTTCCAGAGGCTGAATAAAATACTCTTCATCAGACAACTTGAACAGTCCTGTCTGAAGAGAGAGGAAGGTTGTAGGTCAGTTCTCTTCATCTCTTCATACTTAAACATTTACAAAAACAGCTTAATATTCCAACAGCACTTTCAAGCAATAAATATGTAAAAAGCAGGCGCTGCAAGGATTAGTCAATCAGTTGAATAGTAATAATAGATAGATTGAAAGAATATTAACTATGAAACTATTTTGATCTTGTGGCAACAACTTAATTCATTTAGACACGTAGACATGGGCAAGACGACCTGCAGAAGTTCAAACAGAGCATCAGAATGAGGTCTGCAGAAGACCATCTCTGAACCAACAACACGTTCAACCTTGAAGCAGATGGGCTACAGCAGCAGAAGACCACACCAGGTGCCACTCCTGTCAGCTAACAACAGGAAACTGAGGCTACAGTTCACTTAGGCTCACCAAAACTGGACAATAGAAGATTGGAAAAACGTTTCCTGGTCTGATGAGTCTGGATTTCTGCTGCCACATTCAGATGGTAGGGTCAGACTTTGGTGTAAACAACATGAAAGCATGGATCCATCCTGCCTTGTATCAAGGGTTCATGCTGGTGGTGGTGGTGTAATGGTGTGGGGGAGATTTTCTTGGCACACTTTGGGCCCCTTAGTACCAACTGAGCATGGTTTAAACACCACAGCCTACCTGAGTATTGTTGCTGACCGTGTCCATCCCTTTATGACCACAGTGTACCCATCTTCTGATGGCTACTTCCAGCAGGATAACGCACCATGTCACAAAGCTCAAATCATCTCAAACTGGTTTCTTGAACATGACAATGAGTTCACTGTACTCCAATGGCCTCCACAGTCACCAGATCTCAGTCCAATAGAGCACCTTTGGGATGTGGTGGAACGGGAGATTCACATCATGGTGTGCAGCCGACAAATCTGCAGCAACTGTGTGATGCTATCATGTTAATATGGACCAGAATCTCTGAGGAATGTTACCAGCACCATGTTGAATCTATGACACCAAGAATTAAGGCAGTTCTGAAGGCAAAAGGGTCCAACCTGGTACTAGCAAAGTGTACCTAAGAAAGTAGCCGGTATATACCAAAATGACGATTCTTAACATTCTTCATACAGTATGCACAATATTTTGTCTTTAAGGCTGCTTGCTTGTCAATAGCTCCTGGACACAAAATCTGCAAGCCCACAACACTGAATTGTCTTCAGCACACAAGAACAAAATCCTGTAAGCTCCCAGTGAAACAGTTTAAACAGCCCAATGTCTTAAATTTGCTGTAGAGGTCCAGGGCGCAACTGAGAGAGGGAAAAGATCAGATGTCACATAAATTACTGCACCCTAAACCACGTCGGCATGGTGCCAAAGCTAAATTCCAGTAGCCCCACTCCTTTTTCTGTTGACCATCCTTGCCCTACATTTAATTCCTGTCCACCTTCTGCTCCTATTTACTCTCCCTCAGCTGTCACAGAGTCACAGGGTCCCACTGAGGCTCAGACAGGAGGGCTGGTAACACAACAAATGTACAGTACCACAGGGGGAAGTCAAGTAGGGCAAAAGGATTCTTTTACTCACATTGTGTACACATACAGTAACACAACTAGAACAGCTTCAGAGAGGAGCTCTCAGTTGCTGTGCATGTTCTGCTAATGAAACAAAGCAAATTTTATAAGCAAAATATAAACTAAGCTGGACACTGAACATCCAGTCCTATTTGTCAGACTCCTGCTGACCTATGTGACATTTTAACTGTTTTACCTTTTTTCTGTTTTGGTGAATGCACCTGGAGTAATGCAGTGAACCAAGGTGAAATTAAATCAAATCATGTGTAATAGTTTTTCTTTTACACTCATTTGTAGCCATGTGGCATTTGGAATATTGCCCGATTTCACAACATGTGCACTACAGCAATCTAACACGTGCTTTTACTCATATTTACTCCAGATGACTCATGCTTTTATCATACACATACACAGGGAAAATACAAACAAGACAGTCATTGTTGTTATAATCACATTGCACTGGGGAATGTACATCGCTGTGATGTATGAGCTGTTAGGACTGCTTTCCATTTTATGCTCCTCCGCTCTGTAAATATCTGTCATCCTGTTGGTTTGTGTGTGCTGTGAATCTCCACATGTCATGTTGTCTCTGCACCACTGTCACCAACAAAACCTCAACACAACATTTATTCCACCAGCGTCTCTGCAGGACTGTGGCATCCCAACACTTCAAGGAATACATTATAAATATACATAAAGTTTCTCTCTGTGGTTCAGAAATGTAACACCACAACAAACCTTTAAAGCCTCTCTCTGATCTTTTGCATCACATCAGTGGCTCACGCTGATATTTGCTCTGATGCTGCACAGATTACATCCATATACGCGATATAAGTGCATGTGCTTGTCTTGTCGTGCGTCCCAGGCGGATGTCAGGTAGTAGCTCTCTGATGAATGACCATAGATTTCTACAGTGCTGTTCTTTGATGCTGAGGACACTTGACACTGACAAGACTAATTGCAGTGGCTTGAATAACCTTTAATGTGTGCTCTGTGTGCCCTGTCATTTGTATGGGGTCAGATCAGTCTCATAATGAATTAACTCACGCAGGGTTTTTCACGAATGCACAAGCTCTGGTTCGCAGCTGTATTTCGGACTCACTAATGCACATGATCTGTTTTGCAAATGCACATGCTCTGCTTCAATGCACACGCTCTGCTTCACAAATCTGATTTACAGATTCATCAGTTAATCAGGTGTGTTCGCTTTCAGCTAATCGTATGGCTCCTTACATTTTCTCCACACTTTTAAACCAATCGCTACTGAGCTACTGTTTGCAGTGTTCAAACAAGACGCGCTAGACTGAAACGGTGGAAGAGACATGGCTCAATCTCAACCTGTAAGTAACACATTTATCTTATTATCCCCTCGTTGTAAATCATGCAATGTTATTGAATTATAATGAGCTGAAGCGTTCTGCTTAGCCAAGTAACATGTTTGAATGAACATAAACTAGGAATACAGCCTTCCCTCCTTTCCAAAAATTGACCTCCATTCTTCTTAATGGCAGGGTTTCCCATTTTTTCTAAAGCCCCCACTATTCCCCATATTGGGGACAACCCTCCATTCCGAAACCCCACCGTTCCGACCCCCCTGCGATTGGTTTAAAAGTGTGGAGAAAATGTAAGGAGCCATACGATTGGCTGAAAGTGAACACGCCTGATTAACTGATGAATCTGTCAATCAGAATCATAAATCTGATTGACAGATTTATCAGCCAATGGTGACGTTTGTTGACCTGCGACGTCAGGGGAGTCTCAAAATTCACCAAATAGATTTCTCTCACAAATGTAGAGAGGTTCACAAATGAGAAGCAGTTTGTAAATGCACATTCAGCGATTCATATGATCTGTGAATCTGTGTGCCTCAAAATAATATTTGTGAAGCAGAGCGTGTGCATTTCCAAATTTATATTACAAGTTTGCATAAACATTATATTTTTGAACCAGAGCGTGTGCATTAGTGAGTCTGAAATACAACTGCGAACCAGAGCATGTGCATTTGTGAAAAACCCTGCGTGAGTTCATTCATTATGAGACTGATCTGACCCCATACATTTGTGGTTCTGAGCACTTTATGTTCACATGATTATCAGTAATCTTGATGCTTTCTGGGAAAAAACAATCAGTGCATCACTTCTGTTAATCCTTACGCATGCTAAATAATAAGGTTTCTGGATGTTCTTGATCTTTTATCTTGATCTCAATAAATTGCAGCATTTTTTTTGCAGACAATCATTAGCCTGAATAACAAGCTGTACAGTATGAAATGTACACTTCCTGTCAGAAATGTGTCCTTCCCATGTAATCATCTAATTTGTGGGACATTGCATTAGCATGTGTTGCTGCGTAGCCACATAATCTGGCAACAAGCCTCTGGTTATTTTTTTTCCTTGGACAGCAAAAAGTTATGATGGGAGGTGCTGCTCCACTGGGTGCATACCAAATACTCAATATCCACAGGGATGCGCTTTATCTCTTATAATGCTTCTTTAGTTGTGGACAGATATGTCAGTAATCACTATTTCTTCAAGAAAATATGTTGGGTTTCTTTACAGTGTTATCTGCTAAAGTAGCTCTTTGATAGGTGCCATGATTCATGCTCCTGCCACAGTGCAATACAGCAACACTAACAGACTAACGTGATGTGTTTTGAACCACAGAAATTGAATACTTATCATCTGAAAACTAAAGCTAAGCAGGTCTAAAGCTTTTCAAGTGTTACTGACATTTAAAAAAACTGACTTCAGAGAAAGTAGATGAATGTCAGGGCTCATGCTTTAGAACATTAACACACAATCACACACACACTATTTTATCAGGTACATGTGCTCGTACAATAATCAGCTCCTCCAAACAACCAACTGCATTTCTTTATGTGACGTATAATCTAAACAAAAGACAAATATCCCTTGGTGCGCAGTTACATTCAGGAACATTACCATTAGTCTTAGAGACTAAAAGGTTTAACGCCACCCCAGAGGACAGAATTTGTTAGTTTTGTAATTTAGGTGAAGTTGAGAATGAGGTTCACTTCTTCTTTTACTGTCCAGTACACTCAAACTCCTCCAGCAGCAGGACATGAAATCATCCTCAAAGAAACCTCAACAACAGACTTAAGAAAAGATTTCCTCATATTATTCCTATTTCCTCATCTGCCATCTGTATTTATGACTCTTCCATCACAGTCACACAAGTGTAAACGGATTAGATTAATCACACTCTAACAATAAAAAAGCTCTTAAAATAATTCCACGTTAATGGTGAATGGATTTTAATTTGCATCTGTCTCCCAGCCACTCAAAACACTGGCTGCCATGTCTTAGCTTAAGCCATTGGGAGCAATTTGGGGTTCAGTATCTTGCCCAAGCAAACTTCAACATGCAGACTGGAAGAGCCAGGAATGGAACTGCAGATCTCGTCATACGTAGACAACCCACTCTATCTCCTGACCCACAGCCA